TCTCTCTCTCTCTCTCTCTCTCTGTCTCTCTCTTAAAAATAAACAAACATTAAAAAATAAATAAATAAGGGCACCAGGGTGGCTCAATTGGTTAAGTGTCCGACCTCAGCTCAGGTCATGATTTCACAGCTCGTGGGGTCAAGCCCCATGTCAGGCTCTGTGCTGACGGCTTCGGATTCTGTGTCTCCCTGTCTCACTCTGCCCTTCCCCACTCATGCTCTGTCTCTTTCTCAAGAATAAACAAAAAAAATTTTTTTATTTAAAAAAAAAATTTTAATGTTTATTTTTGAGACAGAGAGAGACAGCATGAACGGGGGAGGGGCAGAGAGAGAGGGAGACACAGAATCTGAAGCCGCTCCAGGCTCTGAGCTGTCAGCACGGAGCCCAACGCAGGGCTCAAACTCACAGACTGTGAGATCATGACTTGTGGTAAAGTTGGGTGCTTAACCAACTGAGCCACTAGGTGCCCCGATAAACAAACATCTTTTAAAAAAAGAAACTTGGGTGCCCAAATATTTCTTTGTAATCTGACTCACTTTTCAGACACCACCCCCTTTGACCCTCACACAAGACGGAGAAGCAGATACAGCTTTAGTCCTACTCAAATGGGGAAACTTGAGCTTAGAAGAAAACGTATTTTTCTACTTGAAGCGTGGATGCCGGGAGCTGAGTAATCGATCCATCACCTCTGGCTTAGCACATGCACACGTGCATCCAGGTAATCGACGTCTTCTGTGATTTTTCTCTGCCCTGTGGTTCTCATTTCGTTTCTCCAGCTTCAAGGAGCAGCTCTGAAATCACAGTCCATGTGAATTTGTTCATGTTTGCAGAACTTTATTTTGCGTCTTGCAAATGTTAATGCTGTGGAAGTCATTCATCTTTCCACTGCACACTCCAGGTTTATGGACCACTCATATGTCTACAGCACAGTTACTTGCTTCAACACAGTAATCCCCACAGTGTCCTAATAAGGGACAGACACATTGTATCCAAATATCTCTGCTGTGAACAATGCTGAACTAAATATCATTCTGCAGATGCCCCTATGGACACATGTGAGAATATCTTTAAATTATGTTTACATTTCCAACAGGAAATTGCCCAATCTTTTACTCACGGCCAAATGGCACTTCAGACTCACTGTACCAGTTCCTTCTCCCAGCAATATAAGAAGGTGCCCACACGCCCAAAACCTGAAGTGGCCCAGCCTTCTCATCTTTGCCAGTTTCTTTTCTCTAATGCCTAAAGAGGTTAAGCATCTCATCACCTGCTTACCTGAGCTTGGAGTTTCCCTTCTGTAAATTAAAAGTCCAGCTTAAATTAAATTAAATTCCAGCTTAAAGAAGAACGTTTAAATGTATGCACCATCATACAGCTGGTGTTTGCCAAAGGAGAGTCTGAACCCAGGTGAGCTCATCTATTCCAGAGTCTAAACTCTCACCTGATAGCCCATCCCACCAAGTGTCAACCGTCCCTCCCTCCCCAGCATCATCCACATTGTTTCCTCCCCTCGGTTATTTCCATCAACGAACACACATGCTCGTACACTACTTCTCATACCCCTCACTCCAAACCATCTCTCCGGTTCTCACTACACCTGCTGTTAGCTTTCTACTTTACTTCCTTTTGTCAAAAGTTACTGAAAAAGTTATTGTTCATACCAGCTTCCAGGGCCTCTCCTTCTCATTCATATCTTTTTAAAAACTATGTCCTAATGGGGCGCCTGGGTAGCGCAGTCGGTTAAGCGTCCGACTTCAACCAGGTCACGATCTCACGGTCCGTGAGTTCGAGCCCCGCGTCGGGCTCTGGGCTGATGGCTCAGAGCCTGGAGCCTGTTTCCGATTCTGTGTCTCCCTCTCTGTCTGCCCCTCGCCCGTTCATGCTCTGTCTCTCTCTGTCCCAAAAATAAATAAACGTTGAAAAAAAAATTTTTTAAACTATGTCCTATTTATTTTAATTGCATAACTGAAAAAGAGAAATTCATCAAAACCAGGTGGAAACCATAAATCCCCCCTCCAAATGCCCTCTACACCATTCCCTTCCCCAGGAGGAACCCACCCATCCTGTGGCCAAATTGGTTGCAACTTGGTTCCCTCACAAAGAAGCTTCCTTATTCAGTTTCAGTACTTTGAAGGTTTCAACTCTCAGCGACACCTAGAACATTGTACCAAAATGCCATTAGGAATGTCCTCTGTGCCCAAACTGACTCTTATTTCTTGACTTCTCCTTGTATTTTATACCAATGAGCGCTCTTTAAACATTCCTAGACATTGTGTCTGCTCAGTGACCCAAAGCATCCTTACACCTGTTCCAGTGGGTCACCCCCTTTGCTTTCCAAAGGTCAGATCATGGGCTTGCCTCACTCAATAAATCATGAGTCCTTGAGACTAAAAACTATATCTTCATAATATGTATATCCCCATCACAGATCCAAGGAAAGAGTTGACTTTTGTAAACATATCTTGAATAGGCAACTGAATGGGTAAATATACAAGGGACCAGGAATCTGTTGAGAGATATTTGATGGGGCCCAGAATTTCTTGATAGTTGACAAGTTGACTCCAGTCTTAAGTCCTTGGGGAGCTCCAAGGTGATGGCTGATGTTGAGGAACATGAGTAGGACACCCCATGGAGCTGACCTTCTTTAAGGAGCACTGGAACACTGGAGTCTACACAGCCAGTCCTGGCTCTAAACTCAGGACAAGTTGAGGGTGGCGTACACACAGGGCTGGCCAGAGGAATCCTCACGGGTGTGGGAGAGTAGCGTGTCCATGTTCCCCCTAAGGGTTTCCTGGTGTAGCTGAGCATAGGTCACCTCCTGAGAGTCTTCCTCTATGGGGACCTGTCAGCATGGAGGTACAAAGTGAAAAGAGAGCACCTGTGGAAGGTTACTGGGGCCGGAGAGTAGGTAGGTAAGGAGAGACTCACCTGCATAGCCATCTGTCTGTCCTTCTTAGGCTGGATGTCCTCTAAGACATCATCTGCAAGGAAAGATGTGGGGGTAAGCCTCCAGAAAGAGCCTTAAAACTACCCAGTCCTATGTGTGTGTGTGTGTGTGTGTGTGTGTGTGTGTGTGTGTGTGTGTGTGTATTTATTTATTTCAGAGATGGTTGACTGAAACAGGGAAGGGCAGTGATGTCGTGTCCAGTAAGGTGATGCCCCCACCTTGTCTGCTTCTTCCAAGTTGCCTTCTGTCTTCCCCAAACACATCCTTTCCCCACCCCAGTTGTCCCTCCTTCTCACTCCCCCTTACTTTGGTTTTCTTCCTGGAAATCCATGACTGGGAAGGAGCTGAGAAAGAAAAGATAGAAGTATTAAGACAAGTCTGAGAAATAAGGCGGAAGGTTTTCTACTGGGGGAGTCCAAATTTTCCTACCTCTTATACTTCACCTGGTTCTCGGTCTCACAATCAATGTTCCCTAAGGAGAGTCAGTAATCAGAGTCTTGGTAGGGGATCCACCAAGCCCTCTCAGGTTAACCCTCCCACCATCAGGACATACCGTGTTTGACCCGATGCCAACATTGGTAAAAGAGAAAGAGAAGGAAGAGAAGAAGTAAGACAACGATGGCCAAGATCCCAGTCACAATGGGAAGGTGTCCATTTCCAGGAGCAGGTGGATCTAGGAATTAGGAAACAGTAAAGGTCTGTTTTTGAGCTCTTGCTGGATTAATTTATCCATTTAATAAACATTTAACGTTTGCCTTCCCTACATGAGGCAAGTTATTGGATGTTTGGGAAACCATAGTAAACACGCCCAACAATAGAATCTATGGTCTAGAAGTATTTTTACACATAGAGATAAATTATAGGGCAAAACCATTTATGCCGAATTATATTTTTAAATAAAAGGGTTTCTTTGGGGATAAGCCCTGAAAGATAAGAAACACCTAGATCTCTGAAGTGCAGGGAGAATTGCCTCTAGACAGAGGGAACAGTGTAACATAACTCAACTCAGAGGTGAGAAAGAGCCCACACACAGAAGGACGGGAAGAGTGGCTCAGAAGAGTCTGGGTTTAGGTCTAAATGTAATAGTGAAACACAAAGGGATTGACAAGCATAGAGCTATGTATTTTTTAAATACTGCATTTTCTGTGTGACACATGGATTTAAGGAGCCAGGTGGAAAGATAAGGCATCAGGGAATGTGCTGCAGGGTGTGGCTGTGTTTTAACAATGGGGTGGTGGGAGAAAGAAGGAAATGGACTTGAGGAGTTTTCGAGGATAGAAACTCTGTACTTTCCGATTATGTTCTTCTTTCCAGCTTATCTTATGCAGGCAACGTGGGAGAGATTCCCCACCCCAGACATCACAAGGGACATCCTTGAGCAGAGCGCAGAGGGCTAACAGTCCAGCCTCTTTCCTCACCTGTAACCAAAAGCTTAACAGGGTTGCTAGGCAGTGACCAGCTGTGAGGGTAGATTTTAGAAGAACCATAGCATCTATAGATACCCCCATGGGCAAGGGTCACAGGAGAGATCAGGAAGGTGTTATGGTCCTGACGTAAAAAATCCTGAGGAGAGACATTCCTTCCATCTTTAGTCAAATTAAAGATTTCATAGTACGGAGATGTTTCACAAAGGAGTGTCACGTTCTCTCCTGAGGTCACATTGGGGTCTGGAAGAGCAGTCAGGGAGGGTGTGTCCTTGTATACACCTGGAAGAGAAGAGAGCCTCTTAACATTATCAGGGAACCACACACAACACCACCATTCTCTTGTTGGACCTAAAAGAAAGAAGGGAGAAGGTAGGTTGAAATTCAACAATTGTTCCTCTACAGGGATTATGAGGACAAGACAAACACTTTTCCATTTTCCCACAACCAGAGACCAGGCAGTGGCCATATATATGGAGGGGGAGCTTAGTATCTGTCCCCATGACGACAGTCCCCTGGGGACTCCAGCCACCTTCCTGAAGAGATATGGGACCACAGTCAGAACACAGAGATTTAGACCCAGATGGATAAGGTGGGAGGGCAGAGACAGAGGGCAGGGGTCCTATGATAGGGACACGTCGGGTCTAGGGTGGTGGGCAGCAGAGATAGGAGCTAAGGATGTGCCCTTGGGGGTGTCTCTTACCTGTCACCACCAGATCCAATGGGTCACTGCGTCCTGACCAGACTCCTTGCTTCCAGTATATACAGTAGTAAATTCCTGCATTGATGTATGTCACAGACTGGATGAAAAACGTGGAAACTCCCTGGGATCCATCTGAGGTTCTGTCGTACCGTGAGATCAAAGTTCCTATTCTAAGTAGCTGCCATCTGACTACTCCTGGAGGTCCCCTGCAGTGGATGGTCACAGAACTGCCCTGGGGAATCACAGCCCCGGGCAGTGCCCAGATGGAGGGCTGGGGTAATAATCCTGGAAGACAAATGGGACACGAACCCCAAACATGCTGATGTCAGGAAACACCTTTTCTCCATCCCCAGGAGGCAAGAGACAAGTTCTATCAACTCCAGTTTGACCTCAGTCTGTACTTTCTAATTGATTTAAGTTCTTCTTTCTGGCTTATCTCTTAACTGAGGCAAAAGGTCTGGTGGGCAAAGCATCCCATGAAGGAAACAAAAACTATCTCCTCAAGCAATAAAGACCCTGTATGACTGACCCCAAGGCAGTGATCAACCTGGCCTTTACTGCCCAGCTGCATGGCCCCACCAACCTCTGCCCCCACTTTCCTTATATAAACCTGGAAGTTTCTCAGTGCCCTGCAGACAGTCTGTGACATGTTAGTCTACTGTCTTCTCAGGGTTGGCCTCCCTGAGATAAATCCCTGTCCACCACTGCTTATGTCTCTGCCTTTGGAGTCTGTCAGTGGTGAGTGGCTGAACCTGGTCTTTAGGGACCCCCGGAGCCAATATTTGAAAGCCTTGCCTGCTGAAGGTGATTTGTCTCCCAGGACCCCACACTCTTGATTTCTGTCCTACACACACTTCTCAGTCTGGTTTGCTGTTTCTCATCATCTCCAAGCCACTAAACTTTGGGATGCCTCTGGGCTTGGTCCTTCAATCTGTTTTTCCTTTCTGTATGTACTCACTCCTGGGTTGTCCCAACATGGCTTTCTGTCATCGGTCTATACATAGACATCTATATATCCATAGATACTCGTGTACTATTCCTGTGTGTCTCACACACACAATATAACCACTCACCAGAACTCTAGACTGATTTATCCAACTGTGAACTTCTCATGTACACTGGGAATTTTCAACTAGTTGTATCCAAATTAGAGTTCCTGATATATCCCCCAAAGATCCAATCCAACTTAGTCTTCCCCATCAATTTAAGAATAACTGGCATTCCTTGGCATCATTGCTGACTAGTTTCTCGCCACTGCTGGTGTCCTATTTAGAAATGAACGCTGTGGGTCTATGTTCTTACCACCTGCTGTTACCACCCCTGGGGTTGAGAAACCATTATCTCTCATCAGATCACTGCATTTACTTTGCCCCCTTCTTCTACAAAACTCCCCAACTGCCCCCCATGCCCTCGTGCAAACACCAAAGACTGTGATCCTGTTTAATAAGTCCCATTAACTCAGTTCTCCACTCACAGCCCCAATAGCCCCATCTCGTTCTGAGTAACCTCTTGCCCTGCTCTACCAAGCTCTTGGCTCCCTGATCTCACCCCCCGACACACACACACACACACACACACACACACACACACACAATATTCTCACTTGCTGCCCATCCTCCAGACCCACTGGCCTGCATCTAGATGACCAGCCTAGTTAGTTCCACATCAGCACAACCACATCAGCATTTGTTTCCTGCATGTAAGGGTGTTCTCCCTGATAGCTTCTGCCTCCCTTCCCCGCTCCAGACTTTACTGTAGTGTCCACATGGGAATGCCTTCCTCCAATGCACCTCTCCCCAAACACACACTTTCTGGGCCCCCCTTCATTCTTCATGTTTCTCTTTAGCATTAAACACCTCACATGTTATAGATCTTAGTTATCTATTTTATTAACATTATTTCCCTTCAATTGGAGGGCAAAGACATTTTTGGGCATTCAAAGCCCTTTCCTCTGACACAAAGTACAATGTGGAGGTCACACCAAAGGCTCAGTATATCCGCAATATGAAGGAATTAACTTACCTCTTGGAGGAGTTCTAAGATTAAAATAAGATAATGTATGCAAAAGCTGAGAACAACATTCAGCAGGGGCAAAACCCCAATAAATTTTATGTGGCCATTGTTAATTTTACACAATGGTACCTCATCTGAGGCTGTTTTCTGAACTTGGCATGCCTTGTATCTTAACTGGTGCCACGCTCTGTCATTATTTCATGTTACAAAGGAGGAGGAACTCAGGGCTCAAGTACAGGAAATTACTTGCAAAAAGTCACAGGACTACCGAACGTTGCGGTCTTCGTTCTGCTTCAGGTCTGTCTTCTGAGCAAGGGTGCCATCCTTGTGAGCTGACCCCTCCTTAGGGAAGGGACCTGGAAGCAGCTGAGGGGTTGCCCAATGGAAAAGGACACCCAACACACCCAGTAGGCGACAGCCTCCGATCCACTGGGGACATGAGGCAAGCTCCCCAGCTCTCTGCGTCTGCCTTCTAAGTGCCAGCCTTGGCTGTGTTTCCTCTCAGGGTTATTAAAGGACCTGGATGTCCCCTTCTTGACTCACCCGTGCTGATAGGGAAGAGTCAGGCATCCGGAAGCTTTCTGGAGAAGGAAAAAGACTTTCCACCAAAAATGGGTGTGATGATGCGAATTTAAAAATTAGAACTGAAGAGGGTTAGTGAGGGGATGACACAGGTTGAAAGTTGAGACTCAACCAAAGCTGCCTAAGCTCAGCCCATGTCAGAACTGCTTAGGAGGAAACACTCACCATTTTTTGCCCAAATCCTTTGTTCCAGACAAAACACTGAAACAAAGAGAGACCTGGTGAGAGAGGTCTACCCTAGAAACCAATGATCCCCAAACACCTGATACTGGACACCAGACCTGCGTTCAATAGGAGAATGGTGACCCTACAGGTGATCTCTCTATAACCAACTGGCCCAGGACCTCCCAGAGAAGAATCCCATGGAAGGGACCTCCGTGTCTCCATTCTCTTCCCCTGCCACCTCCCGCACAGCCCCCTTTGCAACACTCACCAAGTCCCAGCAGAAAAGTGAACCCCAGGGACATAGCACTGGACCCACAGTGTTCTCAGCAGGACACACCCACGGGTGGAGCAGCCTGGGGCTTTGAGCCTTCACACAGCATGATGTGCACCTGCTAAACACAAAGAGCAACTCTGCTTTTGCAAGACATGGCTCTGCCTTTTGACCCTCCACCGGAACACTGGACTCAGGCAGGAGCTGCTCTGTGGGTTTCCTGCTGTAATCTCACAACCGCAAAGACATTGGAGATGTGCGTAATGCTCCTAACAGTGACCCGTATTTCGGCTACAGGACGTTGAAGAAGGTTTAACAAAAAAACAGAAGTGAGATGCAGTGAAAGAAGACTGAATCTAATATGTAGAAATCAGTGAAACTGTTATGGTTGGAGCCACAGACCTACATCAGTCTTGAAAATTTGGTGGAGGGTAATGTCGAGCCAGGGAGCATGTCTGGGAGACTTGTGGACGTGGCTTCTCTGTAGTGATCGTGTGTGTGAAAAGTCATGGAGTCAACTAAGTCATGGAGAAAATCTTTCCTGAATTACTGCACCTAAGAATGATGTCCTGACCAAAAAATCTCTGAGGGGGCAATCATCCCAGTTCACTTGAAAGGACTATTTTAATTTGCTTGGAATGGTCAATGACCTTCTTCTAATCTGAGAAATATGTAAATTCTTAGGCATTTGATATATATATATTATACAGCCTTTTTTATATATTTTATATATTTTATATATTATATATTTTTATATATTTTTTAATATTTATTTATTTTAAGAGAGAGAGAGCACAAGCAGGGGAGGGGAAGAAAGAGGGGGAGACACAGAATCCGAAGCAGGCTCCAGGCTCTGAGCTGCCAGCACAGAGCCAGATGCGGGGCTTGAACTCACGAACCGTGAGATCATGACCTGAGCTTAGTCATGATCAGACGCTTAACTGACTGGGCCACCCAGGCGTCCTGGCCTTTTTTTATATAAAAGGGAAAGTATATGTCTTTACTTCTCTTAAGATGTTTTTAATAGCAAGATGATTTCGTATAATAATCTGGTTTGGGCCACCTGGATGGCTCAGTTGGTTGAGCTTCTGACTCTTGATTTCAGCTCAGGTCATGATCCCAGGATTGTGGGATTGAGTCCCACATCAGGCTCTGTGCTAGGCATGGAACCTGCTTGGAACTCTCTCTCTCCCTCTCCCTCTCCCTCTTTCTCCCTCTCCCTCTGCCTCTCTCCCCTGCTCGCACACACTGTCTCTCTACAGTTTATTTTTGTGTCTGTAATTCAAAATGTGTGAATGATTGGGGCACCTGGGTGGCTCAGTTGGTTAAGCCTCTGATTTCTGCTCAGGTCATGATCTCACGGTTCTTGGGTTCAAGCCCCATGTCGGGCTCTGTGCTGACAGCTCAGAGCCTGGAGCCTGCTTCCGATTCTGTGTCTCCCTCCTCTCTGCCCCTCCCCTGCTCACGCTCTGTCTCTCTCTCTCTCAAAAATAAATAAACATTTAATTAAATAAAACTTAAGTTAAATTGAAATAAAATTAATTTAAATAAAACTTAAAAAAAAGTTTAAGATTCCTACTACAACCTCATGAAGTGCATGATCACAACTAGTCTTGCCTTTCAACAAAGCAATAGAGGTTAAAATTTACAAAACAACTCTTTCAGGCATTGGGTAACATGCAATGTTGGATGATGATGCCCAAAAGACGGAAACAAACAAGATTGGCCACATAATTGCTCACGTTCTTTGCTTATACTTGATCTTAGCCAAAAGCCAGAGAAGTGATGTCGTTCTGTGCTTATAAGTGTAGGGTACAGTGATATCCCTGAGTCATAAAGCTGCTGCCACAATGGAGTAGGATCAAGTGGACTGAGGGAAGCATGACCCAGCCCCGGGAGGCAGAGCACATGTGAAGGTCAATGTGGATATTATGGACGGTGGTGAGATGGTAGCCTTTATTCTGGGGACGTTACCGTGGCATGTGGCATTATTGAAGAAAATGCCCAGGCAGTGTGATGAATCAAGACTGCAAAGGGGAGGGCCAATGACCTTGTATCATTTCCTTTGCCCTTGTGGATAAGATATCCAGAAATCACTAGTAAATCAACTATTGTTAGAGAAACACAGGCTGGATCTAACATTTGGTGTCATCATCTGACAAGGAGAGGTAGGGCTGAAGGAAGGGGTGTGGTACCTACCCCAGGTTGATGGGGATAAGAGGAGTGTGGTCATGAAAAGGAGGGATGCCAGGGGATGTTGAGGGATCGGGAGCTGAGGAGGGACAACAGGCCTATGGAGAAACATCCGCAAAGAAAAAGGATTCAGGAATGACACTGAGGCAGAAGTCAGATGTCACATCGAGCCGTAGAAAGAGAAAGAAAGAGAATATGATCTGGGATTTGGGAAGTCTCTCCTTCTGGCACAATTGCTGGGACTCTACACCATTCCGTGGCATGCAGAGTTCATGGAGCCCAAGTCCTTTGAGAATCTCTAGATTCCCTCATTCTGATGAGGTGCTATGAAGAGTTACTGCTCAGCCTGGGGGCTCCCTAACTGCGCCTTGCAGACCTTCTCTGCTCTTCCGGGCTCCCAGCAGTAGAAGCCCCATAACTAAGAGGAGCAGGCCACCAAGGCTAAACTGGATGATGTTCTGTGTTGTGTAATCTGGGATGTTCTCTTTTCCGTAATCTTGGGGTAACGATTCTGTGGGAAAAAGAAAGAATTTAATATGGGACCAACAGCATATCCCCTCAACCCCAACAATACAAAGATCACACATAAACGACACATCATCCAAATTCAGATAGGCTCAGTCAGACCCCTCTTATGACCTGAAAGTCTCTTTTTTTCACTCTGATCAAATGTGAGGCTGCAGGTGGTTCCCTGAACAAGAGTGTCTGGGTTAAGGCATAAATAGTAAAACTCAAACCACAATCTGTCTTCTCCCCAAGTCAAGAGTGCTGACGTGGGGTGGTGGTCACACAGAGGATGTAAAACGTAATGCGGCATTTGTTCAGGATCCTAACAAAGACATGGCACCTGCCTGCTGACCCTGACCTCAGTGCCATGATGAGGGGCATGGCCAAGAGAGGGGGAGGCAAAGGGAAAGGTGGGGTCATCAGAGCCTGAAACGTTCTCCACTTCCCTGCTATGAGCTCAACTTCTGGTCACATGACCCTGGGAAGCCCACGAAAGCCTCAGAATGGTAGAGACGTACAAAGAGTTGCTAAACATTACTATCCATAAATGTCTAGTATCACAGGGCTATGAGCAGCTGTCTGTGTTCTCTCAGAAGTGGTAGGAACATGTGGCTCAAGGTCACATGGTTGAGGAGACACTCAACCAGGGACAGCATAGAAGGGGAGCCTGGCCACCTAACTGGTAGAGAGAAATTCATCAAACTTCAGCTCCAACCACAATAATGCCACATTCAATCTGAGACCAGAGACACCCCTCCCACCCCCCGGCCCAGTGGAAAGGGGAGAGGTGATTACAGTGTCCCAGGGAGGAAGGATATTGAGGCTAACGTGGCATAGGCTGGAATTGTTCTGCATGTCCCAGTCCCGCAGGGTACAAGGGTTTGGAAACTGAAGGTCCACCTTCCAACCCCATTCGTTAAAGATTTGTTTCTACCTCTACTCTCAGTATACTTTCCATATAGCCAGAGGTGGCTTGAAAATGCGATGAGATTCTACTCTCCATTGGGCATCAGGGAAAGAACTTGAAAGCTGGAGACTTTGGGGTTCCATTCTGAGAGGTGGAAAGGGGAGAAAGACTGGCAAAAAGAACATTCTAGACTAAGGGCAAAAGCAGAGGGAGTATAGCTGGAAAGAAGCGGGTGAAGTGGAAATTGAAGCAGGGGTCAGAACAAACTGGAACTGGAGTCTGTAGAAATAGCTGAATTGTTCACTCAAAGTGCCAAAAAAATAAGGTTTTGAAGCGCTTGCATAGGCTCATGGTGCAATGGAATGGGTTTTGAAAGGATGGCTTCAAGTGCGGTGAGGAGGGATCACGGCATCGGGCAGTGGTGGAAGATGAAGACACGTAGGGGGGATGTAACTGGAACCCAGTGATATATGAAGGTACCTGAGAACACCTGAGGGTATGGAGAAAAATCTGCAAACTCATCATCACTTTCCAAAGTAGAAACAACAGAAAGTGTTCACCCATTAGGTGTGGATTTTATGGGAAAGAAAGGGGAATCGAGATTGGCACAAAAATATTCCATTGGAAAGAAAGGGAAGACGGGGATGTCACTGCTGGAGAAGTGGTCTGAGGGCAGGGTTTTTAGTCACAGGTTGTGCTGATCAAGAGCGCTTTGTAGAAATGGAATTTTTGATATCGTTTGGTGCGATTCAACCAACATGGAAGACTGCTGACGTAAGACGCACCATTGTTTTACAAGGAGGTGAAAAGAACGGAGTCAGCCAGTCAGACTATAGTCACGTCCTAACTTTAGAGGCGACAGATGTGGAAGACGTGCATTTCAGGATATAAATGTGAAACTATATGCTCCCTATATTACGTATATTATATATGCTAAATACAAAATATAATATATAACTGTATATTACTATATATTACTATATAACATATAATATATTACTATATAACATATAATGTATATGCTAAATACAAAATATGATAATATATAATGTTGTGAGTTATATATTTTTTTTTAATTTTTTTTCAACGTTTATTTATTTTTGGGGGGACAGAGAGAGACAGAGCATGAACGGGGGAGGGGCAGAGAGAGAGGGAGACACAGAATCGGAAACAGGCTCCAGGCTCTGAGCCATCAGCCCAGAGCCCGATGCGGGGCTCGAACTCACGGACCGCGAGATCGTGACCTGGCTGAAGTCGGACGCTTAACCGACTGCGCCACCCAGGCGCCCCCATGAGTTATATTTTTATATATACTTTGTGTTGGACATAATCTAGTACGTGTGTGTGTGTGTGTGTGTGTGTGTGTATAAATAAAGTCACATGCTATTCAGGAGGGGCTTTCTGGGCTTCATAAATATAATGAACATTCATCAGCAGATGCTGGAAGTCTTGCACATTTAACTTTCCGTATTCCCGGCGTCCTTGCCAGTCTTCTTGAGTGTATTCACCAATTTGAGTCGGTGCCCTGCTGTGTCCCCTCCTCATCCCAGCCTCAGCCTGCTGCCTCCTCTCATATCCCCCC